AATTCTGGTTTTCTCCCTCAGAAGATCGTAAATATACCAATGTTCACCTTTGAGAATGAAAGTCTAAAGTGCAACATAATATGGGCAAATCATTTGACAAGTAATTTGTGACCCTCAATTTGAAACCACATTAAAAGTACCTATTGTGCTAAATGGGAGATCCAAGGGACGCCAAATGGAGCATGAGGCAGAAGAGGGCATAAGTTGCCATTTCCCTTCTCTCCCGAACCCTGAGAGCCCAACTGGGAGCCAGGCTGACTGACACTACCTGCAAGCCTTGGCTTCCAGAGGAATAGCGCTGTGCAGGCTGGCTCAAGTTAAATGCCCAAAGAAACAAGTGTAGGAGGAGAAAACACATTCTAGCTAGGTCTTCACCAGAGATACGGTTCTCTTGTCAATAGCTGGTGGGACACCTTCAAATATATGAAAGAACTATAAACAAAGCTAGGAATATGTCTGGGTTTGAGTAGCAACAAAAAAGTGGAGCTCATGCTAGTGCATTCCTGACAGCACTGACTGACATTCAGTGTGGGTTTTGGGTGTTTCTGAGGGTGGTGGTGGTGTGTATTAGCTCCTTTGCTGGAGTCTGAATTCTTTCAAAGGATATTTTACTGCAGAGCACTTAGTGCCTCAAAGCCTTGCCTGAATTCCCAGACAACACAAGCATCCTCAGACATGAAGTTCCAGGTCCAGCTCTAACATGTATATATTTTTACCAGTTGTTCAAGGTATAATGTAATTAATTATAACAATTCAGCAGCAATTGAGCATGCATTTGACAAAATATTATAACAAACACAAATGAAGAGATAATTTCTAGACACATTTTTTTCTTTCTAAATCCCAAACTTTTTTGTGATATGTTCCAAATGAGGCAAATTGATACAGCTGCGACATTACCAGGGCTCTCTTGCCTCATACTAAGGTTTGGCTGGTAGAACCTGAAACTTCCCTTTGTTAGGAAGAGCAGAGAAAGCCTCTAATGCCCTTTACTTCCGGGTGGCTATATTATAAATGCAAGGCAGAATCTACAGGTATGCCAAACAGAGAAATAGAGAACATTTCTAGCTTTGATTCTCCATCACCAAGCTGCACTTGACAAAGGTGAGAATGTCTGAAGCATGCAATTCAGTTTGGGGCAGACACCCAAGACCACTGGGGACCTGAAGTCCAGCAGGGTGATGTGCCCAGGCAAATTATTTGGTCTGCAAAAGACTAAGGCAGCTCAGCTGCTGTCCTACTCCCATCTTGCTCCAGCAAGCTGCTCTGTGCATCTGTTCAAACCCCAGCCAGCCTGCATGTCAACTGGGCTGTAACTACAGCATGCATGAAGCAAAACACACAGGCAACAACTGCAAGTTCTCCCTTCAGAAGGCTATACTGGGTTTGGCTGGGATAGGGTTAATTTTCTCCATCATAGCTTTATCATGCTATGTTTTTGATTTGTGTTGAAAACGGTGTTTTCATTGCACCCCTGAGATCCCTGGTTACTCACTCCTACTAAACACAGGCCTGCTGCAGAAGAGCTGTTCCAGCTAGAGCATCTCAAAGGATTTGTTTGCCTGAGAGATTCCCTGGTGTCCCCTTGTGAGGCTTAACCCCCTTTGTAGGTGGCACCAGTAAAACTCACCTCCACTCCTCATACATTCAGCACTTACACTGTGAACCAGCTCTCTAGAAACTGTTACACACAGCATGTAGGGATGCTGTGGATTTCATAGGATGCTGATTATACTCAGCTGCAGAAGACGTCCAACTATAATATTGATACAGGGTGGATCTCAGGGCTGTAAATTTGCAGAGACATTCCATAACCAATTGGCATCCAACATTACAACTTGCTGGCCCTCAGGAGCTCTGTCAAATGCATAATTGTGAGTTTTAATTAAAAGACTACCCACAACTTTGTAAAGAGCTAAAGATCAAGAGCCTGCAAAAACTGAAGAGCAATGAGGATTGTCGTGTTCTTTTTACCTTCAGATATGCTACGAGTGGCGGTCATGTACTAATGACAGGTCTCTTGCAACAGCACACTGGACAGTTTTCCAGGTATCTCCACTGCAAACAGCCAAACTGCAGCTTATCAGACTGTTCACTTTGTCCCAGCTGGAGATGTTTCAACACCTCAGGTTCAGTTCTGGGGAATTATAGTATTTTATACTTCAGGTATTTAAGTTCTATAATGGATAAACTGATAAATTTATTGCTCCTCCTGGATGCTCAACAAAGCAAAACTTACCTTGAAGAAGCTAAATGAGCAACAGGACCCATATCAGTAGTGCAAATATACCAGAGGGGATCATGTTGTTCAGAGTGCCTGTATTTGGGGTAAGGGGAGTTGAAATCCAGGTGGGCCATCTCCCAGGGGCATTCAGCACTCACTGGTAAGTCAGTACAGCACACAAAATACCTGAGAGCAGCAAAAGGACAGTGGACAAGGCACACTATTTGAGCTGAGTCTGCTTTGGTGAAAACCAAAATATGTTTCATGCCATGGCATCTTCAGAGCTGCAACAGCTCTGGATTGTGTTTGCCTTTTTTCAATTTATGGTGGTAGCACCAGAGAGAAGGTCTTTCTGTAAGAGCAGAAATCTTGCTGCATTTTGCAAGTTAGCCTGATGTCACACAAGGGAATGCACAGGAGTCTTTTCTAATGGTTGTTGAGCCTCCAGAATTTACACAAGTGTGTTTTTTGTCTACACCCTAAAACAGGTCTACCTTTTGCTAACAGTGATGTTTAGAGAGGTGTTGGCAGCTGATTGTATAATTTCATATAAGCTTCGGGTGTTATTTGTGGTGGACTCCAAAGGTGTCTCTGAAAACATTTTTGTTCAGTTGCCTTTCCAGATAGCAGAAAACCTAAATTCTCTGTATTTGGCACTGCATAATGTGTAAAAGAGACTGAATCTTAATGCACAATACAATGACTATACATTAATTTACCCATGGACATGATGTATTAACAGTTGTTAATACACAAATATAGCTAAATTGCTAATTCTGAAACTTATCTGTTCTCTTGGTTCACTTTGGTCCACTAAACCTTATGCATTTGTGAGCTGCTCAGTAAGGATCCACAAAGGTTCTCTCAGAAAAGCAAAGTGTCAGATTTCAGCCAGGACCCACAGCTCTCCAGAGAAAGGAGAAAAGACATTAATAAAGAGGGAAAGTTGAGTCTGTGTAATCAGGGCTCACATCACATATTACCACGTATGCTAAACCTCCTGCCTATAATATAGATGTATCAAGACCCTGTAGTTCTGGCCACTGCATGTTTGGAGATATACAAGTTTAGATTTTAAACATTTATAGAACAAAACTAATCCCACTTTGGAGCTAAAGAATTATTATAGGCAAGAGTCTTTCATATCAGAAATCTTTCACATGTTTGTTATCACATAAATCCTCCAGAATATATTCTAGCAGAAATACCTGGCACTGTTAGAAAGCTCCAATGTACTCGTTCAGTTTTAAAAAACGAGCTAAGATTGCAAGGGTAGAGATGCAGTCATATCCCTGAATATAACCTGAGATGCAGACAAACCAGTAGTGGGAGGACCATTTATACTTAGTGACTAGGTTGTCAGCATGAAAACCACAAGTGGGTTGTAAGTGTAGGGTTGGCTGTATTTAGCTTCTTTATATTTGCTGATTCAGCTCTGACAATCAAGGGATGTTGTTGCTCAGTTTGACTAAGCAGACAGTTCTGTTTGCCTTATCTTAATCCATTTGGCTGATAACTAGGCCTGACAAGAAGAACCAGTGTTTTCTTTAAAGATCATCTTCTCCAAATGCAATCTTGCTTGTCTTCACCACTCGTGAAACCAGACACATGCAAGAAAGACTCCAGCTATGTCCTCTTTATGCCACACAAAGCCAGAACTAAAGACATTTGGTCCACAGGAAGGACTTATATTCTAGTGTCACTTGTGAAATGCACTGCCAAACAGATCATAATTTGGGGGTTTTTATGTTTCAGAAGTGTTTTTCAAAGTGTTCATTAAATGCCAAAACACTTCACACCATGTTTTTCTTCAAGCCTGGCTGTATGACAGATGTTGACCTTGCCCACAGTTACCGGTCACTATTAATCAGAAACAGCTCCTCTTCCTTTTCCCCTTCATTCAGGAAACCTTGCTCTTAAGTGGTTTTGGTTCCATTTTTGGAGAAGTGGTTCAAAAAACTAAGAACTAGAACTTATATATTTTTTTAAAGGTCTAATGCTATTTTGAAAGTTTATAAGCAGTCAGAAGTGACATCACTTTTCTAACATATGTTCTTAAGCATAAGCGGTGGGAATTTCAAAGCACATTCAACATTGGCCTTTTTTTTTTTTTCCAACTGAATCAGTAGTCAAACTTCTATTGACCCTAATGGCAACTAAATTCAGCAAGTACCATAAAAGCCTCACTCAAAGTAAAGCAATTAAGGAGTTAGATAAAACCTGCAGTCCTGGGTTTCAGGATTAAAGGACTCGTCAAGTTGTTCCTCTTCCCCATTCACGACCAGCACCATCTGGGTTCCTCAGACATCGTGTGCCTCCACGCAGCAGACATGGTCAGGGGCTACAGAAGCTGGATTGCCTGCCTGAGCCTTCCTGCCTTCATAAGGCTCTCTCACCTTCCTACACAGGATGAAAAAAATAATAAGGCACTGTTTTGATAGAGACAAAATGGTTGTTCAAATACTTCTGCTAATTTCACAAAGATGCATGATAATGCTTCACATATGGCTCTGTGCCTTTTAATAACAAAAATTGAACACACATTTCAAGACACAAGTTTTGTTGATATGCTGCTGATAGTCCAGAGTAACTGTTTGCCTTGTGGTTTTAATTATTCTAAAGACAGCCCAGGGATCATTTACCCAGAGCTAATGGGTTTATGGGCTCTTTAAGAAGCATGATAAGCCCACAGATGTGGCAGGGAATGGCACGGGGGTCAGAGCCACCGTGGGGGCCTACACTCTGGAGGATGAGGAGGTCATAGGGAAGGGTTTATCCAGCAGCCTCCGGCCTCTTAATTATCACATGGCCGTTAGGATGGCTGTGTTCTGTGTAAACATCCCTGTTTTCTCTGGAGGGGACTCTGATCTGGAGAGCACAGTCCATAGCCTCGAGAGTCGCTTCCCGGCAGCACACCCAAGGATAGGGCCGGAGCGCTGTGTGGGGAGCACGCCCTGAGGGCCCTGATCCTGCCCGAAGCCCTGGCATTTACCCCGGCAGCCACCCTCACCCTCACACCGCCACAGCGCCTCAGGGCACCATGGCTGCGCTGCTCCCCTCAGGCCCCGCCTGCCTTGCCACTGCCTCCTGCCAGTCCTGGGCCTGTTTGAGGCAGAAGCTGAGCAGCTGGAGCAGGACTGGCTGCAGCTAAAATGACAACACTGTGGCTATATAAAGAGCTTTAGGTTGCCCTGTAAAAGGAATTGGGCACTGTTGAACTAGGCAACAAGTGACTGTCCTGGTCATCAGCTGCACAGCTCACAGGGAACACACCTGGGCCTCTCCAGAGCCAGGAGGACCTCTCTTTCCCATGGCTGCAACTTCCTCGCTGCAGTGCTTTTACCTGGATAGCAAATTTGGAGGGTTTGAAAGTGCATCAGGATGTTTTAGGCCCAACTCTCACTTAGCACTGATCTAGCACAAAGTCATGGCTGCAGTTCCTGGATCACACCAGAAGAAGGTGGGTAGGAATTTGGCCTCTTCTTTAAAGACTGTGTTACACTATGTTAAGCACAGCTTCTTTTAGAACACTACTTGTTAATTATTCTAGATAATTACTTTTATTTTAGGGATAAAACATAATGAATTTATTGTATAAACCCTGGAAACATTTTGCAGGCAGAAGATGATTTTATCTACAATATGAAAAGTACAGCTACAGAATGGATGAAGCCCTAGCAGGTAGATGCCAACAATATTTTAGGATTCAAAGTTAAAAACAGACTTAAAGTCAGTAGCTTCACAGACGGCAACATAGTCATCCTCTCTCAGGAGCAGAAGAGCAATCAGACTTGCCAGCTGCAAAGAAATCTTTGCAGTTCATGTGGGTCTTAAGAAAGGGATCAGGCCTGCCACATTATAAGTTTCTCCTTCTTTGCGAGAGACCCTATCAATTTTGCAGAGGTTTTCAGCCCATTATCACATTACAGGTAGACAGTTGTCATAAAGCATTAGATCTAAGCAAGGCTGACAGCGTAACTGCAGGCTAGCTCCAGGCTTGGCAGTCTGTGCAGCACCTGCAGGCACAGGACTAGAGTGTGCTCCATCAAGAGACAGGCTGGTGTAATCTGCTGTGAATCACTTTGAATTGCTGCCCTTAATTGACAGTGCACTCAAGACCTGGCTCACTATGTAGACAAAACTCTAAGTACCAGTACACACACAGTCCTGCCAGAAACCTGCTTGTCTTCGGATGAGCAATGGCTACAGACCCACCTTTTCCACAAGAGCAAGAGCTCTGTATTTTGTTCTGCTTCTTCATCATTGCAGGCTTATCAGCACCACGAGAATAAGCAAGAACAATGTTTCTCCTAAAAATTGTTGAGGCTTTATGGAGGAAGAGGAGGGTAGGGATTGAGCAGTCAATGTGCTACTGTACTGGGGAAAAGGAGACAGACACACACACACACTTCAGACAGGTTCAGAAAGCCCGGACCCAGGGGAAGTGCACAGCCATTATCAAAATGCTCTAGGACAAGACCTTTGGGGTGAGATTGCAACCCCCTCTCTTTCTGGGAATATCAACATCCCAATTCAGTTTTCTCAGCATCCTTTTTCACAGAGTACACAGGGAAAAAACACATCCAGATGATACAGAGAGCAGAGGACAGAAGGCATAAGTGTCATCCTTGCACTCCACCATGAGACTAATCCTGCTCCCTCCAAATAAGCAAGCATTTGCTAGAGATTTAAATAATCAGGTGCTGAAATTTCCTTGGCAAGGTGAAGAGGATTCTTTTTATTACTGCTGTCTCAAGTCACCTCCTGAACGAACTCTCACCTCCTTACATCCCAAAGTAGGCTGTAAGCTGGACAATTCCTTTGGCTTCAAAGTTTGTTGTCATCATTGATATCAGAATTTTAATGGTCTTTTAAACTCAAATTCTTACTTCTGCTCTCCTGGAAGCTTCAAAAAAATTGAAACTGAAAGTGCTTAAACGCCTGCTTCCCTGCTGCCAATAGAGGATGTAGAAAGGCCAGAAAACAAAGGGGATTCAGGCCTTAGAGGCCCCTTAAGAGTCTCAGTTTTTTAATTGACTTTCCAAAAACGTTTGCTGAAAACATTAGGAGGAAGCACAGAGCATACTGGGTGGGACATTCTGGTTGTTGAGCCAACTGCCTTCTCTGCCACAGATGCATTTTCTGGCTTCCTGGGGAGAAACCAGCTGAAAGAAAAGCCATAAAGAGATTGCATGGCTGAAGGAGCAGTTTCCATGCCCAGACAAACCTTTCTCCTTATTCTCTCAAGGTCTGCAGGGCCCAGACTACAGTACCTGACCAGACTGGCAGCAGCATGCTCAGAGCCACATGATCTACCCAGGGCTGCCTGCTGCATCCAGCACAGGCTCTGCCTCCCTTAGCACCCACAGGGATCCCTCAGAATCCCTCAGAGTCCCATCTCCTTGGCATTTGTTTAACCCCATATGTTCATTTCAAGGGCCAATTTGTATGAGGGACCACCAGCAACAAATATCAGATCTGGTTTAAGACTTGGTTTGAAGGCATTTAGATAGAAGAATAATCGCACAGGGATGTGGTTTACTCTGGAGAAATAGAGGCTGTGCTTAAATGTCTGAAATTCCTGGTGACTCTAATAATTGTAACCTCCGCCTCAATAAAATGCACAAATGATGTTATTGAAACATTTCCAATCAAAAGGTATTATTTTTGGTTTAAAACATATGCAGTAGTCAGTATTTAAAAGCAAGACGTCTGGGCAGGCTTACCTCTTTCAGGGGAAAAATACTGGAACACAGGTCTAGTCTCTCTGTTTTTATAGCCTTAGTACAACATTATAACCTTCATACAGTTCCTCTGTTGCTTTTTCTTACCAACCAAAAAGTAGCTCTACAGTCATTCACTGGAGAGGTTTTTTCACTTTAAGGTGTGTTTCTGAGCTTGGCCTGGGAAGACATCACATCCCTGGAGAAGCACTGTCTCTGGAGTAGTTGAACATCCTCAGTACCACAAAACCCAAAACTTGGCAGTGCTCCAAGCCTGGTTATTGTGCCAGTCTAGCAGGCACCAAACAAGTTCAGGAACCTGAGAGTCCCTTACCCCTTGACTAGGCAGATCACAGGGCTACGTAACACTGGCTTGTAGGAGAGGATTTTATTTTCAGTGGCATCTTGAGGCTTCGTGACACCTACAAGGAAGTCTCAGAAGGTATAAGATGGTAAAGTGCCCACCTGCAGCTTTAAGTGCTTAAATATCAAGCGCATGTATTTAGTATGGAAAGAGACCTCAGGATCCCCAGCACTCTTGGAATTTTGCCTTGAGCTCTCTGCTGACCTGCATTGCTCACATGAACAAAGTCAGATGCATCCCACAGAAGCTGGCAGAAACTGGGCCAGTGTTTCATGATTCACATGCCTATAGGATTAGTTATAATTAGTGTCTTCAAGTAAGACAATAACCATATCATGCTATTGCACTCCATGGATGCAGTATCAGCACATATGGAAGACATTTATTACTATAAATATTCGGGCACTTGATAGTTATCCAAAAATATAAAATCAGGTTAATCATTCTATCCTACAATCCCTGGCAAGAGATTTGAACTCAGGTTTTTCTGGCTCAGTTTAAGGTTTCACATATAGGATCACTTCTGCCAGCTGGCAGCACTAAAATCTTAGGCTAAAGTTGTTCTCCAGGAGCCAAATCTATCTGCACAGTAACGTTACAGAGCTTAGCTTTTTGCATGCCATATACTACCTAAAGATATCTTGCTGTTGCATAGAACTATGAAAGTTTATGTAGGCCAGATAGAAGAATTACTTTTCAGAGTTAATCATTAACATCTCTCAGGGAAATAAACAACTGAGTTTATTGTCTTATTTCCAAAGGTTGCCCTGGGGCTAATGAAATAATTAATTTGCCACATAATACAAGGGTAACTATGCTGTCCCCACATTCATATTTGCAAAATTGTTTCCAAAAATAGAAAAATAGATAAAATGGAAGACAAAATTTCTGAAGAATGTATAGCTACCCATCGAAGCAAAGGCATGGGAGAATAAACTAACAAACTTCCCTTTTAAAAACCGCTCGGCAACAGGAGCATCAGTTGTTATTTGACTTCCAGTAACACAGCAACCATCCTTGGACTCATCAAGTCTCCCACAAATGCAATAAAACTCAATGGCCATTTTACAATCTATTAGGTGTCATTAAAGATACAAGACCCATGTATTCCTCTCCAGTCCTGCTCTTCAAGGGAAACTGCTGGGGTTTCAGTGCACTCAGCTCATGATTTGTGAAGTTACAGCAAATGCAGCTCCACCCTCAGCTCCTGGACCTGCCTCAGCCCACCTGCAGCATCACCCACACATATAAAATAAAGTCACTTTTCAGATACCAAATATTTAGAGGCCTGGGTGCAGCTCATGACCCCAGTCCCAGTACTGCAGAACACACAGGCCAGGACAGCTACTTTCACAGGACACAGAGTCACAGACAATAAAAAAAAAAAGGCACTGAAGGATCGGTGCCAGCCCAGCATGGAGGCACCCCTGCAGGGAGCTTCTTGAAGTGGGAGGCAGGCGCAGAACCAGCAGGACCCACACACAACTAAAGCCTCCAGCAGGAGCCAAGCTGGCTCTTTACAGAGGCTCTGTGACACATCTGTGCCCCATCCTTCAGTGCATCCCAGAGTGGATGTACTACCTAGGTTATTGCATCAGCCATCAGCTTATGGACACTTGGCAGGAACCAGAAAAGATGGTGAAACCTTATTGCAGATGATCATAAAAAGAGAACAGCATCTGACAGCTGGACACAGTGATGCTGGGATCTCTCTGGCATGGGGATTCCCCCCAGTCACAGATAGCTGCTCAAGTATTTGTCTTTGAAACTTTTTTTTTTAAAGATTGTTGTCACCCTGACATCCCTGAAGAACAAAACTTTCCTGTATCATCAGAATAACAAGATGCCAAGCAGATAAACACCCTCTCTTTGAGTCACATAAAAAAAAGGCTGAAGCAAGTGAACACGTGCAAGGTTTTTGCACTACATAACACAGGACCTCATTTTCTCTCCCTTCACTGGGAAACCTCAAGTAACTCAAATAACCTGCTTAAGGAGGTTCAAGTTTCCCTTTTCTAGTCTTCACCGGTTTTACAGCTTAGAGACTCATCCCCACCGTCTCACATCTGTGCTCAGAAGACATCCAGGCTCCTCCTCTTTATCCTGTTTGCTTCCAGGATGAACCTGCCAGCATTCTCACCTTCTGTAGCCCTTCCTGCTCCTCTGTCAGAATGTTGTAGGTAGCCCAGTCTCTCCTGCTTGCAGTGGCATTTCAGCACATACCCACAGGCTGCAGAGATCCCAGGAGACCACCTCTCTCTCTTGCCTGCGATTCTCCTCAGAGCCCTTCACTACCTACTACGTAAAAGAGAGCTGTCTCAAGCCCTGGCAGCAAGGCAGTGGGCTGAGCTAGCCAAGACTCCTCACAAGCTC